TGTCGTTCCAAACCCGTAAAAGCGTTATTCGTCTTCGGAACACAATTTAAGAAAACCGGGAGGCTTGTGACTGTCCGATTGACTGCAAAGTAAATAACACTGTCAAGGTCCAGAAAAGTATGAAAGACATCGTCAGAATAGTCCATCTGCCATCAGTGGTTCAACGGTAACGTTATGAAGTGACGAGAATACTTTTTGTACGTGAAGAAAACAAAAATAGCAACTTTATTTAGCAATTTGTCTAGAGACACAGAGGAGACAAATTGTTGAATAAAGTCATTATTTTTGTTTTTTGTTTGGAGTATCCCTTTAAGGTCTTTTTTTTTTTTTTTTTTAAGTTAAATGTTTAAAAGTTACATTAGCTTAGTGGCTTTATTTTATTTTTTTTATTTTTATTTTTTACAAAAAGCCAAGTATAGACCTAATTAGTCTCGCGTAGGCAGACCTTCAGACTGACGGCTGAAGGTCTGGAATCCAAGGCAGCTTTCATTGGCCAAGGCCCGCCCATGAGGCCGTTTAACAGACATGTCAAACAACCAATCACAGTTCGATTAGTTTCAGCATCACGTTTCGGGGCGTGGAAATGTCGCCACAATAACAGACTGGTGTGTAAAACTCTCGGACGTATTTTAAAGATTCTGTGCCGTGAGCTTTAAATATTTCACATACTTTTGAGAATCCAGCGTTTAGTTGATCCTGATAAGCGCTCGTTGTCACAGTTGTGAACACGACGGCTTTCTTCTTTCGTGAGAGGGTTTGGCGTCACCGCATCTTTGTTTCCAAGCGGAACGTTATAGAATGTGACACACACGTCTCCCGGAAATCCTGTATAATTCAACCAATCCAATGACTACTTCCAAACTCCTGAAGTGTTTCCACTTTTGTGTGCCATATGCATCAGACGTTTAACCAACGTTCCGTGGGCGTGACGTCTGAGGCTGAGACTAAGACCTAATTAATCATGCAAGGTTCCATATACTTATTTTATTTTTGTTTTTTAACACTTGTACATGCATTTACACTGCACTTACAAATTGCATAAATAATGTTATGAGATACATGTTTTAAATTCATAAGCTGGAATATAGACATTTTAAATAATAGAAAAAAATAGAATGATACTTATAAATATGAAATTAAAATTGCCAGTAGGTGGCAGCAAGCCACTGTCTTAATCAGTGAGTCACTTATTTAGTCATTTATTCAATAGATTTTTCAAAATGACTGATTCATTCAGGAAGGAAGAGACTGTTTTTCTGAATGGATCAGTGAATCACTGACTCACATGATTTGTTCAAAACTCAAATTCTTTCAGTAAGGAAACAGCACTGTGTGTTGCTGCAGAGACCCCCAACATGGCTTTGTTTAAGACTGTTTTTGTAAGCAAAATACAGCAAAAAAGACAATATTGTCTCTACAATTTAAATCACTTAATATTTATATCTGGTTCATTGAATTGTTGCCCTGACACACAGAAAAGTGCTACACATCATGCTAACCAAACTGTTCATATAATCGCTGTAAATGCATGCGTGTCTGCAGGAAGACTGCATATAATTCTATGATTAAATACCTATATTTATTGCTTCACAGTGACTGTGCACACTAACAAATAAACGCCCTGATTGATTCAAACCCAAACTCGTGATTTCGATCATTAATTTCAAGTGATTCACTAGCAAAAACAAATAAAGAGCCATTCATTTTCGAATTTCGACATCACTTGTGATGATTTTAAAAAGGGTGCTTTTCGAAACTCAGAATCAAACCATTGCGTTGCTGTTACGAAGCATGCCAATCAGATCTTGTGTCGCGTATCATTTGATTCAGATCAGGACTTCGGAGCGGCTTCGTGAATCATTTGATACAGATCGGAACTAAGCGGGTTCATGAATCTTTTGATTCAGATCAGGACTTCGGAGCACGAATCATTTGATCAGAACTTCGGAGTGGGTTCGCGAATCATTATTCAGATCTGGACTTCGGAGCATGTATCGCGAATCGTTAGGAGCGCGTATCGCGAATCATTATTCAGATCTGGACTTCGGAGCGCGTATCACGAATCATTTTATTTAGATTGGAACTTCGGAGCGGTTTTGCGAATCTTTTGATTCGGATCGAAACTTCGAAACGTGTATTGTGATTTTTTTATTTAGATTGGGACTTCGGAGCGCGTATCGCGAATAGTTATTCAGATCTGGACTTCGGAGCACGTATCGCAAATCGTTATTCAGATCTGGACTTCGGAGCGCATATCGCGAATCGTTATTCAGATCTGGACTTCGGAGCGCGTATCGCGAATCATTTTATTTAGATTGGAACTTCGGAGCGGTTTTGCGAATCTTTTGATTCGGATCGAAACTTCGAGACGTGTATTGTGATTTTTTTTAATTTAGATTGGGACTTCGGAGCGCGAATTGCAAACCATTTGAATTTGATAGGAACTTTGTATCTTTTTTCGATTAAATTTTTTTATATTAAACATTACAAAACAGAGTTCTAAAAACAAAACACTGAAAAAAGAAAGAAAGTATACACAGAGTTTTTTGCCAGGTTAATAAGAAAAATAAATAAATTAACACCTTAAGAGGGACACATAAGACGAATATACAGTTTTCTTTAGATAATTTCCATATGCATCTGTAGATCAACTTCGAATAAAGAAAAGAGAGATTTTGAGCCAGTAATTTTTTATGTAGGCCTACAGGAAATTAAGCCAGCAGAAAACACAAATTAATTCAAAGTTATATTTTCCAATATTTAGCCTATTAGTTTATCCTTTCATTCCGAAAACATGCACAATTTCTTTGTGCATGTACATGTGGTCATTAAAATGTATCTTTGTGTGCAGTTTCACACATATCAAATTATTTCATCTCTTTGTTGATAAACACATAACAGTTTTTAATAATATTACTGTCTGACTCATGTATACATTAGAAACAACTGCTTTAATCATTGTAAACTACGCGTGAACTGTTCCTGACAGAGACTGTTACTTACACTATTCAGCTGTAGGTTATCAGGGGTTAATTTTTGTGTCATTTTCTCATCTAACTTGCTTTGCTAATACAGTACTGCATGTCTGTCTGTGCACTGCAAAGAAATCAATAGCTAATTTCTCTCCATGATCACAGATATTGAAAGTTAGAGGCGGACTTACAGTCGGATGGTGAGGAACAGATTTACCAGCATCAAACGCCACATGACACACAGACGTTTTGCCACAACAACAACAGTCAAGCGTGCTCCAGATTCCCTCACCAGTGTATTGTGTTGTGTGGAGATTAAAAGCCGTGCAAATACAGCAAGAAAATCTCAGGTTTACAACTATTGTACAGAAAAGATTGAGAATAATCATGTCAAAGCACAGAGCTTTGAAAAGGCAGTCGACAAACTTCAAAAGCAATAAAATAGGATCTATTATGAACCGAAATGGCTTTAAAGAAACTTTTACACCTCTCTCCGCACGAACAAACACTGAAAGTGGCCACATGTGAAGCGGTAACTTGCCACATGCAGATTTCTGAAAGCTTTAATATATCACCTTCAGTGAAAAATGCTTTTATAGCTAACCCTTGTGTTTTGACCCGTAATGGTGCCTAATCGCGGTTTACCCAATTGCCACTTTCTGCAGAACCGGATCGACATCTGGATGAAGGACGGCCTTCGGGGTTGCTTGGCAACAAGGTCACACTGGAACACAACTACTGCCGACTAACACCACTTTGGAAGCGTCTCGATACAAGAACCATTTCCACCGATAACATGCAACCGCTGAAATAACATGGTACCTGCGTGTCAGAAGAAGGTCTGTATTGATAACAGGGTTTGACGCAAATATATCTGATATTTACCATCCAAACATTTTAAGAGGGGCTCACCTGCTCATCAGAAAAACACACAGCACCAACATGAACAGATGATGGGAAAACAACACACTGCGGTGAAGATTTCAAAATCACACACGTATAAAAGACAAAGGAATCAGTTTTTGCTTTGGCTGAACCTAAAAAACTAAATGCACTGTATTTTTTTACTGAAAAGTAGTAACAAGTGCATATACTATAATTCTACTTCTCGAGATAAATCCGATTTTCCAATACATGCATGTGAACGTATTTGGTTGCACAGCAGTTTGGTGTCTAAATAACTGATAAATAGCTCAACGGATAATGATTTAACACGATCTTTAGTAACCTGCAATCAGTGCTGGGTATTAACTGATTACATGTATTCTGGATTACATAATCAAATTCCAAAAATTAAGTACTTGGAATTAGATTACATTTTAAAATACTTGTAATCAGACAGTTACTTGTTATTAATTACTATTGCCACAATAGCAATAAATTGTTCAGAATTTATTGATTCTTCCTTATTATTCTTTTTAGTCTTTTACATTTTCCTTTCTAAAATATCCTACCACTTGTATACAATCAGAAAGTCTTCCAGTTTAGACTTTCACACAAAGACGGCATTTGACCACTGTATTTACGAACTTTTGCATGTTCACTGTCCTTTGAAGTCAGTTAATGGTCACATGACATCCAGGTAAGTTTTTAGTAAGTGTTTTATTTTAATTGTTGTTATTTTAATTTTACATTTTAATGATTTAATTCATTATTAGCTTTTCAATAAATGCACAACCCCCCTTCAGTTCCTTCACAAAGCCCAGTTTGGGAAACCTTGATGTAGCGTAATGTTTAATGCACTTCATGCTGTTAATAACAACAAATGGACTATATTTGCTTTCTCTTTGTATTTTCATTTCAATATGGTACAAGAATATCCTATTTAAGTCAATGTGATAAACAAGTTAGATCAAAAGTAATCTAAAAGTAGTCTGATTATATTACCTAAAAGTGTAATGTAATGGATTACGTTACTAACTACAATTTTTGTCATGTCATTTGGAATCAGTAACGGACTACAATTTGTAAATAATCTACCCAGCACTGCCTTCAAAGTTTTTTAATGGAGGCACAGATTTAGGTGTTCATTACAAGTATTTTCATGACCATCATGCCATGCGTTCACTGTGAGGACAACATTTCATCCATGTAGGCACAAGAGTATCTACATAAAAAAAGAGATAGAAAAGTCAAACATCCAGCACCAAAGACCAATGTCCTTGAAAATGTGGAAAAAGTTCAGAAAGTTGGTGCGCAGTGCAAGATCGCTTGATATAAAAATACAAATTTCAAGGTAGAGTCTGTGATAGTTTTCCGAGGACTTTGAACGCCAATCGACTTTGAAAGTCTGTTGGACATCAAACAACGCTGAGGATCTCAGAAAGCCGATTTGACCTTTGGTTACGGTCATGGGGTCAGTTTTTTGACATCAGCTGTGTCCTCATGGGCATCGCTGTCAACGGCTACACTGGGTTGGGTCTCCTGGGTTTCGTTCGAATACGGCGACATGGAGTTGTTTGACGACCCGAAATGATGAGTGTCCACCAGAAGCAGCATGGGTGTCCCGCTCCTCTTCAAGGCCTCGCTCATGGTGATGTGCACTTCCTCCGGCGTGACTCCCAGATCAGATGGCGACTTGCGCTTGATGCGCTCGTAGCTCTTGTCTTGATTCTCAGGGAACGTCTCGCTGTCTTGGAAGCGTCCGAACAGCCAGATGAAGAACCCACAGAGCACGAAGGCCGCCAGACTCGGGATGAACGCAAGGCATTTGACATCCAGACTGGCGCCCACGTAGCGGCTGTGAAGGAACATGTCTCTCTGGACGTACGTCTGGTTGGTGCGCGGGTCGATGTTGGTGGAGCGCCACTCCCAGGTCAGTGTGCTGCGGTTGAAGTCGCGCAGCGTCTCTGGATCCTCCACAGTGTAGATCTTCTCTCCTGGACCTACGTATTGACCGTATTCATAGGGCTTGTAGAAGATCTGGTTCTTCCACATGTTGAGGTCCAGGATGAGGACCAGAAAGATGATTCCGTAATTAAACCATTTCCCTGAGATAGAGAGAAAAAGGGGAAGATTAGTGTGTTTGGAATTTATCCCAGTGTATTTCAGATATACTCAAAACACTTTAGCAACTCTGTATAGCAACATCCTGGCAACTACCCAAAACACCCTAGCAACTGCATAGCAATGTCCTGGCATTTAATCAAAAGACAAACAACTGCATAGCAACAACCTGGCCAATACCGAAAACACCATAGCAACTGCATGGAAACACCCTGGCAACTACCCAAAACACCCTAGCAACTAAATAACAATTTGATGGCATTTAATCAAAACACCTTAACAACTCCATAGCAACGTTCTGGTAACAAATGACCATAGCAACACTTACATAATATTCTGGCAACTACCAAAAAACCCTAGAAACTGCATTGCAACGCCCTGGCAACTACACAAAACACCTTAAATTACAACATCCTGGCAATTACTCAAAACACCTTAACAACTGCATAGCAATATACTCAAAACCGCTTAACAACTCTATACAGCAACATCCTGGCAACTACCCAAAACACCCTAGCAACTGCATAGCAACACCCTGGCAACAACCCAAAACACCACAGCAACTGCATAGTGACGTCCTGGCAACTCAAAACACCACAGCAACTGTATAGCAACACCCTGGCAACTACCCAAAACACCATAACAACTAAATACCAATGTGCTGCCATTTAATCAAAACACCTTAACAACTGCATATGTAGCAACATCCTGGTAACAAATGTCCATAGCAACACCTTAACAGCTACATAACATTCTAGCAACTACCCAAAACACCCAACTATATAACAACATACTCAAAACACTTTAACAACTCTATATAGCAACATCCTGGCAACTACCCAAAACACCACAGCAACTGCATAGCAACACACTGGCAACCCAAAACACCACAGCAACTGCATGGCAACTCCCTGGCAACTACCCAAAACACCACAGCTACTGCATAGCAATGTCCTGGCAACTACCCAAAACACCACAGCATCGGCATAGCAACCTGCTGGCAACCCACAACACCACAGCAACTGCATAGCAACACCCTGGCAACTACCCAAAACACCACAGCAACTGCATAGCAACATCCTAGCAACTACCCAAAACACCACAGCAACTGCATAGCAACAAACTGGTAAGCCAAAACACCACAGCAACTGCATAGCAACACACTGGCAACCCAAAACACCACAGCAACTGCATAGCAACACCCTGACAACTACCCAAAACACCGCAGCAACTGCATAACAACGTACTGGCAACTACCCAAAACACCCTAGCAACTGCATAGCAATGTCCTGGCATTTAATCAAAAGACAAACAACTGCATAGCAACAACCTGGCCAATACCGAAAACACCATAGCAACTGCATGGAAACACCCTGGCAACTACCCAAAACACCCTAGCAACTAAATAACAATTTGATGGCATTTAATCAAAACACCTTAACAACTCCATAGCAACGTTCTGGTAACAAATGACCATAGCAACACTTACATAATATTCTGGCAACTACCAAAAAACCCTAGAAACTGCATTGCAACGCCCTGGCAACTACACAAAACACCCTAAATTACAACATCCTGGCAACTACCCAAAACACCCTAGAAACTGCATTGCAACGCCCTGGCAACTACACAAAACACCCTAAATTACAACATCCTGGCAACTACCCAAAACACCCTAGAAACTGCATTGCAACGCCCTGGCAACTACACAAAACACCTTAAATTACAACATCCTGGCAATTACTCAAAACACCTTAACAACTGCATAGCAATATACTCAAAACCGCTTAACAACTCTATACAGCAACATCCTGGCAACTACCCAAAACACCCTAGCAACTGCATAGCAACACCCTGGCAACAACCCAAAACACCACAGCAACTGCATAGTGACGTCCTGGCAACTCAAAACACCACAGCAACTGTATAGCAACACCCTGGCAACTACCCAAAACACCATAACAACTAAATACCAATGTGCTGCCATTTAATCAAAACACCTTAACAACTGCATATGTAGCAACATCCTGGTAACAAATGTCCATAGCAACACCTTAACAGCTACATAACATTCTAGCAACTACCCAAAACACCCAACTATATAACAACATACTCAAAACACTTTAACAACTCTATATAGCAACATCCTGGCAACAATCAAACACACCACAGCAACTGCATAGCAACATCCTGGCAAGTGGCAACTACCCAAAACACCTTAGCAACTGCACAGCAACCATTAAACCGTTTCCCTGATGTAGAAAAAAGGAAAATAGAAGATCAGCATGTTGGGAATTGATCCCAGAGTATCTGCGAGTCAGACGGCTGCTTGAGAAAGTGAAATAATTGAGTTGGGAGTCACTTTCTAATGGCTTTTGTTGTTAACGCACTCATGCGGGGTTACTCTCAAACGCTAAATCACCACGCCAAACAATAAGGTTAAAGACTTTTATGAACGGTTGAGCAGGAAGGCCATTTCCCAAGACTCCAGGGAGGGATCATCTCTTCCCAAGAGGGCCATCAAGAGCCTTGCTACAGTGAGCAAAACACAGCGAGATGGAAAACGAGAAACCGAAGCGGTTCGCTCGCACACTTCCGTCAGATTTACTGACTCCATTATATAAACGCACGTTTACAGATGAGCAAATACTAATTAGTATGCATTACCAACGCTGCCTTCAAACACATCATTATAAAGAGATGTATCTAACGAGCTAATATTCTGACAGCGTGTCCCTTTGGGAAAGGAATTATTTCATCTGTCCTGTCCCAAACGACAGTTTAGAGCACTATACTGCTTGATTCACCGGCATAATTGTGCTCACGGTGTATTTGCTGTCATACCCTACTTAAAGCACAAGTGTGTGTATTTACCCGTGATGTGGATGTGGTACTCATCCTTAAAGATGCGCTTGCAGACGGGCAGTTTGATCTTCAGCTGCGTGGTGGAAAGACCCGGGAGGTTCATGTCCAGATCGCCCATGAAGTGAGGAAACTCCCAGTCCTGGAAGAGGAAGATCCAATAAACATGTGTAAGTGACCACACAATGAATGAATAAACCCTTCAGGAGTTACAGTAGGACATCAAACCTCACAGAGCTACTGTATGTGCACACTTCAGAGGGTGGGATGAAGTATGTCTGAAGCAGGGTTGGGCAAAGATACATCAAAATGTAGGCTATTTTACAATAAAATACAAAATACCATAATTTGAAGTGTATCAAAATAAACTACAAAATACAGCAGCTACACCATGTATCAAAATAAACTAATGTATTTTAACAATACTAAAAAATACTTTTACAAGGGAGCATGAAATTTCTTCGCAAACAATGTTTGATATAGCAACAGCTTTTCTCTGCCCGAGTCATGCAATAAATCTGACATATGCAACCAGTTAACAGATCAAATATTCACATATCCCTGCGATCTCCCAGATGAAGGTTAGTTTTAAAGTAACAAACAGTTTAATGTTTAACAGCTTGCGAATGACTCATAATTGTATCCTAATGTAGTTACTTGGTGTTTGGTAACGAAGGGCCTACTTTGCATCAGCAGCACTGACTCAATGACAAACAAGTAATTCATAAGAAGACAACTGATGGCACCTGTATTCATAGCAACTAGTTTAACTAATTAATCATTTGATTGTTAATAATAAATATAATAATATATTACGTGTCAGGCAGTCATTCGTGCAATGGTATGCAAAATCATGATCCTACTAAACAGCTACTTCAATTAGGGTACAATAATCAGAAATAAAATATTTATTTATCAATGATTGGACATCTATTTGGAAGTTGAAAACAAACATTTTAGCATTTCAACAATTATTAAATGATCAATATGTTTTGATTTAAATGCAGCCAGAAAGTAATCAAAAAGTAGCAACAGAACTTGTCAAGGAGTATTAACCCAACTCCAACCACTGAATCTATTGAGAGCCATAGACGTATAGTGGACACATACACATTAATAGTGCAGCAGCAAGTCTGGGCAAAATACGAAATATGTATTTGAAATACATGTATCATAAATACTGCCCATCCCTGGTCTAAAGGGCAAACCTGTTTGAAGAATACATAAAATAAACTACTGTACAGGAAATACAACCAATTTTGTGCATTGTAACTGTTTTGTGCAACTGCATAGTAACACATAAAATAGCTATAATACGCAAATAACTAGGTCCAGGCATCTACACAAAACACCCTAGCAACTGTATAGCAACTGAATCAAACTACTTCATCAGCTCTGTATAGCAACATCCTGACAACTACCCAAAACACATTAACAACTGTTTGTTAATGTGTGTGTGTGTTTGAGCATGTGTTTGTTTGTGAGTGCGTTTCTTTGTTTGTTTTTGTGAGTGTTTGTGCATGTGTGTGTCTGTGCTTGTGTTTGTTTGTGTGTGCATTCGTTTTGTGCATGTGTTTGTTTGCTTGTGTGTGTGTATGTTTGTTAGTGCGTGAGTTTGTTTGCTTGTGTGTATGTTTGTTAGTGCGTGAGTTTGTTTGTGAGTGTTTGTGCATGTGTGTGTGTTAGTGTGTTTGTTTGCTTGAGAGTGTTTGTGCATGTGTGTTTATGCGTGCATGTGTGTGCGTGTGTTTGTGAGTGTGTTTGTGAGTGTGTTTATGCATGTGTTTGTGTTTGTGAGTGTGTTTATGCATGTGTTTGTGAGCGTGATTGTGTTTGTGAGTGTGTTTATGCATGTGTTTGTGAGTGTTTATGCATGTGTTTGTGAGTGTTTATGCATTTGTGAGTGTGTTTATGCATGTTTGTGAGTGTTTGTGTTTATGCATGTGTTTGATGGTGAGTGTGATTGTGTTTGTGAGTGTGTTTATGCATGTGTTTGTAAGTGTGTTTGTGAATGTGTTTATGCATGTGTTTGTGAGTGTTTACACATGTGTTTGTGAGTGTGTGTTTATGCATGTGTTTGTGAGTGTTTATGTATTTGTGAGTGTGTTTATGCATGTGTTTGTGTGTGTTTATGCATGTGTTTGTGAGTGTTTACGCATGTGTTTGTAAGTGTGTTTGTGAGTGTGTACGCATGTATTTGTGAGTGTTTATGCATGTCTTTGTGAGTGTGTTTGTATTTGTGAGTGTGTTTATGCATGTGTTTGTGAGTGTGTTTGCATTTGTGAGTGTGTTTATGCATGTGTTTGTGAGTGTGTTTGCATTTGTGAGTGTGTTTATGCATGTGTTTGTGAGTGTGTTTATGCATGTGTTTGTGAGTGTGTTTACGCATGTGTTTGTGAGTGTGTTTACGCATCTGTTTGTGAGTGTGTTTATGCATGTGTTTACGCATGTGTTTACGCATGTGTTTGTGAGTGTGTTTACGCATCTGTTTGTGAGTGTGTTTATGCATGTGTTT